CGCGACGCTCCCGACAAAGGGTTAGATTTCCCCGATGAAAGCAATATGGGCGTGGTCGAGCTTCGATTAAAAGGCTTCGTGGTCCAGGGGGCGAAGGCCCTGAAAATTTTGACAATTTAGGGATTTCAAAGGCTTATTTAATCGATTTTAGAGTCTACTAATGTAGAAAATACACAATTTTGTTTTCTCCCCGATGAATTGTACTTTTTCTCCCCCCGCTGTAGACTACGTGTGCGGGCGCACGTCAATGTAAATAGGAATTCCATATATGAAATATGTGGCACGATGCTTAGGCGTACGTGTAGACAATTTTATATATATTATTTATGTAGGCCTGGATCTATCGCATATTCTACTCAAAGGAAAAATGATGACTTACCCGTGGTTTTAATAAGTGGAGGACATTATCATTGTATTAATTAGAAACATAAGCCAAGGATTGCGTTGCGTGCGTTAATCAGTTTATATTATAGTGATGCCCTAACTGGTGTACTGTAGTAAGTTCCACAATGAATCATCCCACAATTAGAGCCCTAACATATGACCAAGAATTAATGACAGGAATGAATTCCGAGTACTCACTTGAACACAATTTTGTAGCCCACTGTAAGTGCGCTGAACCACGGAAACCTTTCAACTCCATCGTTGTTTTCCTAGTGTTGTGGCTGTAGACCTGAAACGCATAGTGGCTACTGTACAGTGCCTGAACATTACAACAGTTCATAAAGCATCACATATTTCATTATTCAATTGGCAAATGTATTTGCTGCTGGATCTTAAAGCATTACAAATTCGGTACAGATCTCCAACTAATTAAAATCCCCTCCAATTAAAGACCACCTCCAGTTAAAGACAATTTTTGAGTGATCCCAAATTAGCAAATGTCTTTTATATTTATTATTCTAATTAGAGATCAAAGCTGTTAGAGACCACGGAAAACCTCAGTCCCAAAAGTGGTCTTTAATTGGAGTGAGATTGGCGTACTTTTACCTAATGTAGAAACTACCATAACAACACACGACATATAGTACTGTATTCATTATATTGTACTCAAGAGTTTTATTCATTTTGTCCCGAATATGATGAACTACACTATAGTATTGTATGTTATTAATTTTTCTTTATTATGTTAGAAAAGAACCAATCTGCTAACTGGGGTAGATCCACAGTAAGCAAATAATTGTGTAAACTGTAAAAAAAAAAATATATTGTAGTATTGCTGCTAGTTTGATAATTACTAAATTTAGTTATAAATTATTCTGCTTTAAGTTTACCCCCTTCACATTCTACAGTGCTGTAATTAAGAAACCTCAACATCATAAAACTTGAAAAGATTGGTATTTAAAATAACTTACATGACACACACAATGTAAACACCCACGATGTTAAACACCATCTGCCATTCAATTAAACACCTATGGAACACAAACTAATTCAACTCCCTGCAGTAAATATTCCATAATAGTGCACTTGTAGCAGTTCACTTGTTCACTTTATTTTCACCAAAGAAAAATATTCTTATAATTATAGAAAGAAAACATATTGGTGGAGACCATAGAAACAAAGCTTAATTTCTGGTCACCCAAGTGCTTTTATCACCCCCTTGGTGGAAAGAAAAAGCTTAAATCACACAACATAAAATTATACATTCTCATTTAACATACTTAATTTTGAATCAAGTGCTTGGATTTTTCAATGTACCAAAGAAAATTTACTAGAATTTCCTTTTCTTTTTCTTTTAAAATAATGTTAAAGCTGTGGATCACTGCATCTGTAATACCAGTATCTATTATCTTTTGAAATCAATTCAATTGTATATCAGTTATATATTTACTATTATTACTTCTTTGTGCAGTTGAGGAACATTTTATCAAGTTTTATTTACAGTAGAATTCTGACTCTAGCACGTCCAGTGCCTACTTCCTCTTGCCCCCTCCTCCAGATGATAGGATCATAACCATGCGAATAAATATGTTGATGGTGTCTGTGTAGATACTGATGGCCCTGGGATGAAAAAAAAAAGTTTGTAAAGAGTTGTAAACATATTTTAAATAATCACATACCATTATTCATTTCATTTTTCATGTATTATATTTCCAACAATGCAACAATTCTTCTGAAAAGTAAATAAATAACAAGGACAATGCAATATAAAAATGTAAGTAATAATAGCTAATTTATGATAAAAAAAATTACAATAAATAGCAATAGTTGATGATGACAATAATAATAATAATAATAATAATAACAATAATAATAATAATAATAATAATAATAATAATAATAATAATAAAATAATAAAAAACATAAAAATAACAATAATAGTAAAGTTGTGTGAGGACACAATAAGCCATTAAGGTTTCAAGTCTGTGCCTCTAATTAACTGAAAGCTACGTAACAATGATAGAGAAAGAATGCTTAAAATAAGTTCATCAATAAAGTAAAATTAATTACAAGGTGAGTGTAATACTTATAAGTAATAATAAAAATAAATTAATTATAATTTAAATAATCACTTATTTAAAACAACCAATTTCCAACGTCAATCCTGCTGTTTCCTGGGTGCAGTAATTTTTATTTTACTTTGAATTTTGACCCAATACATTGGAAGGCTAATTATTTAATTTACAATTGTTGGTGCTGAAGGCAGAAGAGCAAACATGAATGGATTATAATGGAATACTCGGGACACCCCTGCAACGCCCGAAGCTTAAAGTAATGGTAAACTATGGTATTGCCACAATGCTCTACAAATGGAAAGGGTTAAATTTTGTGTGAGAACAACGCAAAAGCAAGTAACTTACGAGTTAATTGGATCATAAGGTCTGTCGCTATACATTGGGTACAGTTCCGCTCTCTTCATTATCTTCTGCGTATCATAGAGCATGAAGCCTCCAAACAGAACCAGTCCTCCGTAGACGCTGATGGCATACAGACCAGAACCAAGGGCTGTTCCCGGAGCAAACCACATACTCCCTGTTGAGTAGATTAATCAACAGTAAGAAAAGAAATTTAGAACAGATAATAGGCAAAAATACCATCATAGCTAAAATAACTATAAATACTACTTACCCAAACTTGAAACTATTACAATACCAAGTCCCATTGCTAATGGTCCTCCCATGTACAAGAATTTATCACTGGGGGCACATGCAGCGACACATGACAAACCTGAAACAAAAATTACATCAAAGTTTTATAACTAGATTACTGTTGTATATTCTGCAGTAAAAGTATAACCCTCCGCAAAGCTGACTTTTCAACATGAATAATCATCATGCTATTGAAAAAGTATGAATGTTGATGGGTTAAAATCTAAGAGCCAAGGAGAATCTTACCTCCAACCATACCAGCAGTATACCACGCAGCACGAACCAGCAAAGGTCCACCCAGCAAGCTCATGGGGGCTAGAATTCCACCAACTAATGCACTGTGCCCTAACCAAGCTAGCTGCTTCATACCAAAGCCTTCGTGGTAAGGAATCGACATGCATACCATTCCAGATCCCATCAGCACTGCCATCATCCCAAGAGCTCCCTAGAAAATGAAAAAAAAATATTCCATAAGTTTTGCTATTTTCAGAAGCACTGCTTTACTTTAAGAGCTCGATAGTCAATGACAAAAGTATCCCTAAGAACTGCATCACCTTAAAGTATCACTAGAAAGGGGGATGGGAAAAAATTATCTCAAGCTCCCTAGAAAAGCAGAAAAAAACATTTTGCAAAACTGTGCTGGGATGCAACTAGAGTGGAGTTGTGGTTTTATAATCAACGGGCCAACTTTTAATCCCAAAGTTGTGGGTTCAAATCCTGAAAAACCTTTTATTCTCAATTCCATTTAAAGTCCCAAATTTATAGATTTACTGGATATTTTACACTTGTTAAATATGGTAAAATAAAACATATGTTAATATTTCACAAATGTTGGGAATTGGCAAACATGGATTACAAGAAAGGAAGAAGAAGATGAAAACCTTAGCAAAACCAGCATCCATCATTTAAAAAATTTTTTTTTAAATTATTTTATTTCAGTTCCACACCAACGGTAAGTACGAACTCGCCACTTACAGGATGGATAAGGTTCATGATGTTGTCATAGTATGGCTGCCATCGTCATAGCGATGTAATTAATGATTTAATTTACAACATGTTTTTCTGAGTCAGTATGTCTCCACCCTTAAACAAATATTAGATAATGCAAATCATGCTTATTATTGATAATTAATCCTGACAAAACATACATTTTATGTAAATGGTACAATCATGCATAACACTTAACTTACCCACATAGACTTTGGCATTAGCTTGGCCATTAGGTTGGGGTTCCGTGAGATGGCGTAAGCACTTGCTGCAGTGCTTGCTATACCGGTGCCAAAGTATGCATATGTGGTCTTAATTCTATCACGGACATACTGTGGCCAAAACCTGGAATAATACAAAATCATAGTTAGTTGTAAATTTCCTTTGCCGAACAAGAGATGTATTTAATAATAAACTTTTTAAAATGCTTGCACATGGACTTATAAATTGGCTTGCGAAAAATTTAAGAATATTTGTTGTAAAGTCTGTAAATAAGGACTTTACTAAAAGTTAACTTTAAATCAGCAATTCAATGTTATCTGAATGTTTATTATATTCATTTAACATTATTTTAAAATAGTTACTCTAATAGTGCTCCCAAGTTCGCTGGTAGAGCTGACTTGAAGAGCCCATTAAAAAGAGTTTGTTTTCCCTCAATTTCACTACAAACATTATATTTAAGGGGATTTATAGGTAAACAGCTTCAGTACTTTAAAACAAGTACCTGATGTAGTAACAAAGCCAATTAATAAACAATGCATTTATGGGGGAAACAGGTTCGCATTGTCTTAACTGTTGAAAATTTCAAGTTTGTGAGCTACATTAATCTGACATTTAAAATCATAAATAATAATTGCAGGAATAAAAAGTCACCACTAATTATATCAAATATAAAACAAATCCTAGAATATCATGCGATTATCAGCTTTCCTCTTTAAATAAATTGTTATTGGTTCCAGTCAATGAATCCGCAGCGAATTCCAATAACTATGTTAAACATCGACAGATGGAGCTAAGCTTGACGGAATGAGAGGAAAACAGGAGCATCTCTCCTGAGGGTGGGCAGGATGTTGGTCAGGTGAGCCAGGTGGCATTAAACGACTGCCATGCACGGCCCAACCACAATGCAAGAATAACAAAGTGGGACCTGACAATGCTAATTAAATCACAACTACCACTTGAGTAATGCCTCAATTATTGCCTGGAAATATCATCTTGTGAGAAAATTACATCCAAATCCCAAATCTTTGCCGTAAGTCCTTAGTAATAAACTCACAGCTCGGTGATTGGGAACCAAACAGTGTGTAGGCACAGCGCTACTTCCTCTCCCCTGGGTTATCAATAAGTTAAAACAAGACTTTTTGTACTTACGCTGCTCGATCAATAGCACCTGCTTCGCTGGACATGCCTAGGCCGTAGTAGCATAATGCACCGATACCTGCGATTCCTGCCCCAGCGACAAGCCCTTGGCCAAGGGTGATGGCTAATAAAAGTAAATACAAATACTTGTAAGGATAAACAAATATAACATGATTCAATAACACATGACTTATATATTCAGGGATTATATATATTTGTAATTAAAAATAAGTGCTTCCTTGAAATGCTTTAATTGTTATTTACTTATTTTATATTTTTCCATTGCTCTCATTTAAAAACAGGGAACTTGCTATAGAATAAACTATCTCATGCTCTCTATTAAACTAAAGGCTCTGGTTTTGTAATTTAATAACATTTGTGCAAGACAAGAGGTCCAGTAATTCTAGCATACCACTGCACCCATCGGACAGCGTACAATGTGGATACACCCTGTGAAAATTTTGTAATAAGTCCCGCTGTTCGCATTGGATTTTCTGGTTGGAAAAATAGAACGGATATTCTTCCAGGGCAATGACCATCTGTTTAAACTTAATGTGCGTCTTGGTTAATTTTGTTTGAAGTTTGTAAGAACGCTTTACATACCGTAATGTATATTCTCACGTATAAGACGAGGCATAGAATAACAAATTACTATCGAAAAACTGGGGGTTGTCTTTTACGCGCAACACATAAACATTTTTTATTTGTAAATCATGGATCTGTACTACTACTGAAATAAAGCTACTAACCCTCAGTATGAATGAATGCAATTTTAAATGCGGGGGAAAAAGATTTCAATAAACATTTAAAGGTCCATAAAATGGTATTATTTGGAAGATTGGTACTCTGATCTGTTTAGCCAGCTAGATGCAGTTTCAAGACCATAGCAAGCAGCAAAAAGGAATATCGACGACATACAAAAATCTTCTCAAACTCGGAGGTTGTCTTATACACGAGTATATACAGTAATCAATTTTTTGGTCACACTTACCAGGTACTTTATTACAATGATGTTCTCTGCCAACAATCTTTATATCTGTTTATTGGTGCATTATTATAAATGTTATATATTACTTAATAATAATAATTCTGGTTTTATATAGCCCCTCACGTTGTCACAACCTCGAGGCGCTTAACAACAACAGAGAAGAAAATAAACCATAAACTAATGTACAGTAAATTATTTATCCAATATATTTAAGTATATTTTATATTTAAATGTAAAAGTAGGAGAATAACCCATAGCTCGCAGCGGCACTGTGCAGAATTCCATACGAGTGTGGTCCATGACTACCTAGTTGCTGTAAAGAGGCGCTTATAGTAGCTACATATTCACATCATTCCACGACGACACGGACTGAAATGAGTCATAGCACTGAGGTAAACCATTACTCTTCAGAAAGATGTAAATTGGGTTTTTTTTTAAAGTGCACATGAGCCAGGTGTGTACACTGGTCCTCCATTTTAAGTCCTTATTCGAAAAGACTTGGTTCTACCAACTAAACCCTAGACGAGCAGCGGCTTCAAACAGCACCTAGGTTAAGGCCCGTCTTACAGTTTGGCCACTCGACTCGAATATTATTTATATTATATTCTCTGATGTTTCAATCCTTTAAGTGCATCAGGTATTTTGTATTTTCAAAAGTGTGCTACACAAATCTATTACAATTAAAAATGTTAAAATTAACTAAATCATTATTAAAAAAACACAAATAAAAGTAATGATTGATACGCACCTGTTCCATCTGCTGGTTGGCCTGCAACTTCCTTCAAGGTTTTGCTTTTGCTAATCCGCTTTCTCAATGATGTTCTGGCTTGAGAGGCAAAGTTCCTGCAGACAACATGATTTTGTGTCTGCGCTACCTTGGAGAGCAAGGACTGGCGAGCTGTACTTGAAACACAGCTAGGAACACGGACAACAAAGGTAGCAAGCATGCTCCTTGTTTAAATATTTTACTTCCTGCAAATAAATTTATAAACTTTATATACAATTCTTTATCTTAAAAGTAAATGTACGCTTGATGTTGAAGCATTCTACTGACATAAAACAATATAAACAATATCTTAAACACAGGTAAGGGCTGAGGTAAGGAAATTTATGATTATGGCAACTCATAGCTCTCTCTGACTTACATTTGAATATAGTCTTCATTTTTCCTCCATTTAAAAAAAAATAATTTTGAATAATTTAGGGGGCCCCATGGCAGGTGAATCCGCCGCTGTACAATGCAATAAAGTCAAATACAGTAAGGCCATTCACAATATCAATCAGTAAAATGTTTATATCTTTTTGCTTTAGGCATAGAAATAGAAAGCTGTCCACACATTAAAAAAAGTAGGGCCTATTTCTGTGCAATTTTTCCAGAATTTAAGCCTTGGGCTATGACTTAATAAACAACCAATGAATTATGCAGTATTTACGATTTCCTGCACAAACTTGAGAGTATTGACGTATCCCCATGCAAATAAAATACTTTACAAGATTAGGTTTCCTGGAGATTTTAAGTTGCTGATGGGAATGCAAAATGTTGAGGCAATTTCCAGGATCCCATGACTTGCGGGAGACCAGTGACCATTGGAACATTTCGCTTTGAACTCTTGTTGCAGACCTGTCTGTGAACAGGGTATTTGTACAAGATGTACAGTGTAAATTATAAAGCTTTAATTCAACACGTACGACCCAAATCACCAAGCAAGTTAAAATTTCACCTATGTTTATAGAGTCTAGATTAATGAGTAGAGATATTACTAGGTCAGCTATTATGTAGACAGATAATATAGACCCCTTCAGTGTTTACATTGGCGTGTCCGAGATGCTGGTGTCGCCCTACCCTGGTAGGCAAAAGATCCTCGAGGTATAGGAGAAATGCATGGGAAATCAGGATACTGGTTTTTTTTGTTGTGCCAAAAATACGAAAGCTACATGGATGAAATTCACATATGTCATACCAAAAAAATAACAATTTACGAAATTGTATTTTCTCTATTTTTTCATTTTCGTCTATCTCTTCAGATTTTGCCAAGTGCATGCGCTAGGCCAAGAAAGTGAAAGAGTGTGGCGACAATTGCCTCCGCCGTTATAAAGGGCCTCGAATAGGCCTATGATATATTCCCTTATTTTTCTTTGAAATTTCCAAAATGTAGAGATAATGTAACTAAAAATGGATGTATCAGTAGACTTTCCTCTTTATACAATTCTGTTACAAACAGTGAGCCATCAATTGATATTTTTCACCAACCTATATTCATTCATTTTTCGCTCAAGTTACACTAGTCATTTGATCATTAACCTTGCTCTGGAATTGTATTTTATTGAATTTTCTTATGTAGGTTCCTTGTACATAATTGTAGCTTTTGATCTAATATAAATATTTTTATATATTCAATAATTTTGAATGTTTTTATTGTGTTAATTTTATCGATTTTATAGTGATTTTATATTGTATTACTCTACGCTCCCTGTTATTGGCATTCTCGCTGCTGGGGGGTGAAATGAAATAAAATAAATAAAAATTTAAAAAATGAATTTTCTGTTTGCTACTCGGTGATGCTACGCTAACTTTGACAAACATTCCGCATTTTTCTGAATGAATGGAATAATTACTCGGCAAGTAATCATTATTACAGCCAAGTTTGGTAAACATTATACAGTAGTTGCCTAAAAGTAACATTTAAGACAGTCAAATAGATTGCATATATCCTGAAAATACTTTTTCTTTTGTTTTAACTCATAGACCGAATAGTTTTTGCTGTCAGCGTCGATCGGGCCACAGGCAAATGCGGTAGCGTCGTGTATAAAGCTTTCACGTTTTTGGCCCAGAATACTAGCACTTGCCAACATTCCAAGACAATGACAAAATAACTTTAAAAATAAAAATAGAAAAATACAATTTTGTAGATTTTTATTATTTTTGTCAATTTCTAATATAGGCCTATAGGAAATGCCATGTGAATTTCATCCATGTATGTAGGCCTATGTAGCTTTCGTATATTTGGCACAAAAAAAAAGATAGCCAGTATCTTGATTTCCCATGTACATTTCTCATATACCTCGAAGATCTTTTGCCAGGGTAGGGTGCAGCCAGCGTTTCACATAGGCCAATGTAAGCATTGAAAGGGGTCTATTATTCAGTAGTACTCGGGCTAGGACCTAGGCCTGGGCATACAGAGGAGTACGCAGAGATCAATAATCAGGATGGATAGCCAAGGCCCTAGACTTTGCAACCGTTTTACGTTGAATCAACAACTTAATATTGTTATATTCTTAAATGAATACACAACCAACTCCAATGGCAAATAAATGCATACATAATACATACGTTTTTCTATTATAAGCACGTTTCAGGTCTCAAATTCTATATATTGCAATATTTTTTTTAAACAAATTTCACGAACAGCTAGGCCTAGTTGCGAATTACGAAATATAGCGCCACCTTCCGGCGGCTGATGCAATGAGAGGACCAATGGACCTTGCTAGAGTGTCAATCAAGCTTACCATCTGGCCAATCAGAACATCGCTAAGGATACGCGCTTGTTCCACAAACGCATGTGTCGCTTTAAATGTACGTTTACGCTTTCTTTTTGCAGAACCTTAGCAACAAAGGGGAGGGGCTTACTGGAAATGTCCACTGAAAAAGTTGTAAGACGGACTTCTTGAAGTACCTTGCAGTTTAGAAGTGAAGTCATTAATTGCCATAAAATACTAATTATGTCTTAAAATTTGTGTATTATGTTTTGTATTACTTCAAACAAAAATACTCAATTGTAAAGCTCTTGATAGTATTAGAAAAGAAGACCTGATGATTATTAAAGAGACCTTACACACTGTGATGATTCTTAAACATGGACTTTTTAAAAATATATTATACTGTATAACTCAAATACAGATGATAAATTACAATTAATCCTTAGTGGAGATCTTGCCGCCATTTGTGACAACTCTGCCAAAGTGTTTGACAGCTTCTGTAAAATATATAGATGGACAGCATGGAACAAACTTTCAGGAATAAAACACTCCCCATTGTTATGAAAGGTTTTATTAGTTTGTATTGTTGCTTCATGCACGCTTTTAGTATTTTTAAAATTTTTTTCTGATCGTTTCTGTGGTTTTGACAGCTTTGTTTAGAATTAGAATTCCACCTCTGTTGGAATACTAATAGGACGTCCCCCTATTTTGTGGCAGTCCTTTTTTTTAAATGTTTCATTGCATGCATACAAAGTCAGGGCAGAACTCATGCCGTTCTATACTCTTTGTTATTACATATGTACAGTACTGTATATCTTTATGTATGCATGCAGGGGCGGATTTAGGGGGGGCCGGCCCGGCCCGGCCCCCCCTTTTGGGAGGTAAAAAAAGAAAAAAAAAAGAAAAAAAAGAGAGAAAAAGGAAAAAATGATGGCTAAGAATGCCTCAAATGTCATGTTCGGGCGTCTAGAACACAAAAATTTTGCGGGGGCATGCCCCCGGACCCCCTACGACAGTGTTGTCTCAATCGGCCCAACTTTCGGCCCCCCCCCCTTTTGGACATTTCTGGATCCGCCCCTGGCATGCACGCACGTGTGGACAGTACAGAATATGTACTGCATGTGTTTATATCCAGTATTCTTTCTTTCTTGCTTTTGCTAGCTTTAGTTTTCTTTCAAATTCTTGTGTACTCTGTAAGAATGCACCAGTTTGTGAGTGTCACAAATACAAAGGTGTAGTATGATCAAATCAATAAATATAATAAGAAATGTTATCAGTTAATACTGTATATCGATTTATTATATTCACATACAGTTCACACAAAAACGTTTAATGAATTCGGACTCGTCATTTAAATAAAGACATTCTGTACATTATCAAAACTATAAATATACTGTAATGGGAAATATAAAAATGTTATTAAAACGTACATATTGCATTTCATTTGTATTCCTATCATTGTGATCAATATAAAGAAATTATTATATACAAAAATATGAGTACTGTACTTATATAGTAATTAAAATGCACAATTTCATTCATCATAAGGTCATCTTCTCGGATAAGGACTCTAAACCGTAGGCACAGTGTACGCAATTGGCTAGCATGCACATTAAAGAACCTAGTACATCCTTTGAGAAGAGAAGGAGGTTACCCCGGTGAACTGGTGCATTCAGTCCCAGTCTTTGTGCACAGATGAAGGTGGCTTCTTGACAGCTGATTAGACAGGATGTGACCATTGGGGGAGAAGAAAGTTGTTGAAAGAGTTAGTCCACATCTGTGTGCATTTCAGTTAAAGCTGCAAGTCACAAGTTATTTCCTACCCTTACCTTAATTACACAAAGAAACAAACAATAATTATTTAAAAAGCTTGTTGATCTCTGTACATGATGAGTAGTCTTCCTTGACTATATTTTCTCTCAATCTCCTTTAAGTTTGGTTTTTTGACCTTGTTTTTTCCATCCCATTCCTTCGAAGTGTCTGTCTGTCTAGGGCCCAGGTACATGTCCAGGTCAATTTCCATTCACCTGTCTAGGTACCTGGCCACTTTAAATGTGTTTATTCATTAATTTAATGATATCTTTGTAAACAGCATCAGCAGCATCAACAGACCAGATGAAGTCAAGGTGATGGTAATGCTCAATATAACTATCGTACACAAGGTTCTTTAGCTTCGACCGCAGCTTCCGCACATCCGTTGGGTCAGCCAGAATGTCATTCTCACCCCAAAATATTGCCACAGGAGTCTGAATATTCTCAATGATGTAGTTTGGTGGTCTTGCCTGTTAAAATATGCAAATTAGTTGAAAAATTATGTTGACGATTAGTTAATCGAATGAAAATGGTATTGCAATGGAAGTGTGGTAGTGCACATACAACTACAAAGTGAAGAAGTTTATGCATATAATTTTTGTTATTAATATTATGTGAATGACTTTGTTTGCCTTGCAGTAAAAGCATCCTCCTTAATGTACAGTATACATTCTTTCCAATACATATTTATTTGGAATAAGTGTATACTCTAATAATCAGATGATAAACTCATTTACCTGTTTATACTTTAAAAGGTTTCCCAGCATACCATGATCATACATTGAAAATTCTCCTGATAACACCATCTACCAAAAAAATATTACATATTATTATTATTATTTATGACCTTAAATGTGTTAATATTTATTAAATTAAAAATTAGTAGCATAATTCCATTTAGCTTGTTTTGCTCAAGCAATCGTAGTGCAATATCATAGGAATAGACATAGGCAGCCCCCTCCCCCCACTAATGGCAGCAAATTAGTTCCACTAACTGGGTTAAAATACTAATTTTTTTTTTATTGGAATAGTGATTTAGTTCCTCATTCTCATTTTCAGGACTTCCACCTACCACTACATCCCAGGCCATACCAGCCTATACCCCTCCTACAAATGTACTTTAAATTTTATTGAAGTTTGAATAGAGTTTTGTGTAACATAAATTCATAAAAGCTATGTGTATGTGTAGAATACCAGTTGATTGATATCAGTTGAATGTGGCTGCATACCTGAGCAAAGTGGTTTAAATTAAACAATGATGTACCAGCAGGGTTATTAGAAACATACACTTGGATACGTGATTGGTTCATTCTTTGGCAATCGTATCCAGCAATTACAAAGATGACACTTCGACAGAGAATCACAGAGTTGTCATTATCACAGATTGTGTCACCAAGCACATTGAAAATTGGAAGGTCAGGAAGGAAACTGTAAATGTGCAACATTATAAAAGCATCCTATAAGAGAAGCATAAAAAAAAACCCCATAAAATTATTATTGTTTTTATCTGCTTTGGGAAAAAAACAATGTGAAGGAGAATGTTTCAAACATCATACAAAACACCATTCAGATTTGTCATAGATATTATGAGAGAAATTAGTTATTCAAAGAAAGAATATCTAATGAAGAAAACTAACAGAGATAAATAGTTCACTGCAGTTGTAGAGCACACATAAATATATATTGGGGTACCAAGATTGGTTATAAAATGAACAACACAACACAAGGCTAATGACGCTTGGAGGCATGGGTTACCCATGAAGCAAAGGGTTTAGGAAAGAGAACCATTGGTATATAAATGTGTATATTGGTGAATATAAAGTTTTGATATAATTTACGGCTAAGCTTCCTACCACAATAGGTTTTGCGAGTCCGTAATCAGCAATGAAGCGAATTGGACTACTCATGTTGCTGACAGTTGTCACAGGTGCTAAGGCAAAAAACATCTTCACCTTCCTGTTGAGGTCGCGATTCTTAGAGAGGGCAGCAAATGCTATAAGTGTTCCTTGTGAATGTCCAACGTAGAAAAGCTGCTGTTGGTTGCTTATGTTCAAGGCAAAGTTCACCATTGCAGGCAGGTCATACAAGGCCATCTCATCCCAACTGAAGAATACAAATCAGTTTTAATACAGGTTATTATTCTTTAATCCTTAGTCTCTATATCCCTTCCTCCATCATTTTTTTGCTTATTATTAATAATTGTTGTGGAAGCTGTGTGGCAAAGTGTTAAGGCTTTTGACATTCCTTTTTGAGGTCGTGAGGTGAGACTTTTTTTAATCCTGGTTTTGCGAACTTATGTTTTTTAAAGATCGCCAGAGGTGGGCAAGACTACATTTGCTTTCTTTACTCAGGAGTATAAATTACCTGGTGAAATTGGTAGTGCTCGATCACACTCATGAAATCTAAAAATACTCCCCATGGATTGAAGGACGTTCCACATAATGTATGACAGATGCTCTATCCAATGAAATTATTAAACAAATATATTGTATTCATCATCATAGTCTGTGAGTACACTTCTTCGTCCGTCTTAAAGAAGCATAGTTATTTTCATGATAATTAATATTATTATTACATTACCTCCACTTCCAGAATTCCTTATCAGTTGGTTTCAGTGTTCTATGTTTTAAGCTGTAAGTGTTTCCTCGGACATTTCCGAGCCAGACATCAAATCCAGCATCTGCTAGTAAGAATCCTAGGCTATCATTGGCCTGGTTCTCCACCCAATTTGTTGCACTTCCTTCCAGCCCATGTTGTAGGAACACCACATGCCTTGGCCCTAAAATTATAATGAAGATGTTTTGTTTTTGTTTCTTTTTATTATCTGTTTATAACATTAAATAATGCCATACAGTAGGAATAGTGGATAAGACAAATTAGAAAAGATAAATATTTGTGATTGCATTATACAGTACCACAACATGTGCAGTATTGCATCTTTCGTATTATGTATGTTTTAATGGCCAAATACTTTTGACATCTGTTGCAGCAAAATTAATTTTGTGGTGGATGTCACATATGAAATTCCAGTGTTATTTAACAAATGGCGAATAAATCGAACATGAATGATAATAATCTGCACAAGGAAATTATACCGTAAAGATATTTGTTGCTTCTTCCATGTGGAATTCTCTGTATACCCAGGATGAATCCATCTTCAGTCAGCACAGAATACTCTTCAACAGGGTACCCCTGGTTGGATATCAGACCACTCTGGAATGAGACAAAAACATAAATTTTGGTTCCAAATCAATAAGTTACATTACATATCAAGGATATAAAATAGCAGCCATGAAAAAATGGAAATTAAAATGTTTTTCTTTATTTATATTACGCCCACCACTGCCTTGAAATCTGGGAGTATTTCTGTTTTTAGCACTACAGTAACATCTCCCAATTACGTACCCCTCCGTCCGAACAGAGTTCGTAATTGAAAAAAATCATAATTCAGAGAGTTTAAATTTTTATAGGATCTCAGTGTGGTGAGGGTAGGCCTAGACCACTGCTACTAAGCACTGGGCTAGGTAGGCCTAAGCCTTGCCATGGGATTAGAATTTTGTCACAAAAAATGACTCGGATTTTACTGTTTCCTGCAACAAAATACTTTACAGAAGCCAAAATAACTTGTGCTCAAAGTGAAGTACAGTATTCACTTGAAATGATTTCCGAATGAAAACATGACCAGATAATGGCCAAAACGAGTGTTATTATTGTCTTTATAAAAATCGCAAATGCATGCGATTAGCGCCCCCGATGAACAAAAGTGAGATATGCTGTACAGTATGTCTGAATAAGCATGCACAGCTCAACTGTAATATAACTCGGCTGAAAATTATTGATATTTCTTACTTTAAACTTAGTTTTATATTACTTTATTGGTTTAAACTTTTTTTTTCTTGGCTGATATAACATTTTATATTATTTTGAAGTCTTTTAAATACACTTTTAATTGTTTTTGTAGTTAAAAACAATCGTTTGTAATGACATCATCTTCACAAATTGGGTTCGTAAAATCGAGAGTTTGTAATTGGGAGGTTCATAATTGGGAGATGTTACTGTATATAAATTCCATAATTTATTATTATTAAAAGAAGTCACTTATGATCGCACAGTGGTTAGCACCAATATGTTCACAAATAGGCCTACTGTAGAGCCAAGTACAGGCTTGTTACTTGGAACTTGATCATTGCCATCTCTTGTTAATTGCCACATGCTGTCATTGACTATTTTGATTTCTGTTGAAATATTGCACACTTTAACTTAATTTTGGAGAGAGTTCTATTATTGGTCTTTTTAAGGTTGTAAATTTGATGTACCATTAAACAAAAGTGTTGAATTAATTTAACATTACAAGGTAGAAAGCAATAATATTTACCACATTCAGTCTTGTGTCTGGATCAAACTTCAGTTTTCTATCCTTGTCAGGTGAGTTCAAACTGCATGATATGTTAGGTACATTATTTTTCAACTGCCTCGCTATTTCATCCAGCGGCAAGTAAGTTGACAGAGTATTTAATTGTTGTGTCAGTTTTCGGAGAGAATTTTCTTTACTGCTTGGAGGTGACAGTGACTGTTTTTCTGAGCCAGAGCTCTTAATCCATAAGATAAAAGCAAGTGCAGAAATGGAGGCAAACAATCGAAGCATCCATTTCCTCTTCAGAATCTATGAAGTTAATAACAAACATAAGAAAACTGTTAGCTTAAGAAATAGTGACAACAATTTTCATATTCTGCTATTATAAAAGTTTAATAAACTTAATTTAGTTTTTAATATCTACATACACTTTTTGTGTTCTTTTGTTTACTGTTCATAAAAAAATAAGTAAAGTTCCTGGCCTTCGTTTCGAAATGGACTAAATCGCTCTCGATTTACCTAGAACTCAACTAAAATCTGAGCCAAAGGGCTTTTTCGCCCAGGCACCTGTGATTTGGAATCAGTTTCCAGTTAACATCCATCAATCAGTCTTCAACTCTTCACCAATTCGAGTCTCTCCTTAAAACTCACCTGTTTAAAAATAATTTAATGCTCTAGTCTTTCTTATAGTGCTGTGAGAGACAGGCAGTAAAGAGCGCTTCATAAATGCAAATTATTATTACATTCTATATTTGTTTACATATTGTAACAGAATTTGGGATTTCCCCAGAGTCACTGATGGCTGATCTGTACAAGTAAAGTGGTTTGGGACTTCACCTGTCTGCCCCTGTTTAATTGTAGTGCCTACGGGACAAGTAATGAAGGGTGAGTTATCACTGTTGTAAGTCATTTAATCGTTCTAAGATAGATACTTAATAAAGAGTTCAACTCATGGGAGAGTGATATTTGAGTTCATTTATCATTTTGTTTGTTTGTTATTTGCTGAAGTCCAGGTCCCACATCTCTGGCAGAACCCGCGTTCATCCTAACAAGGACCAGGTCTGTTACAATATAATATATTAAATGCCCTCTCAAATGACTTAAAAGACCCGCTATTGTTTGAATCGATGCCGACATTCTGTTACAAATTACAAATTGAAAGAACACTATAAAGAAATATACTTAAGCATAATTTTTAGAATATATTAAAATCAGATTTAACTTTATTTTGTATTTATTTACATTACCTCCAATGCTACATTATTTATTTAATTTAATATCTTCTGTTTTTTTGTACACAGGCCTAATATATGTTATTTTTTACTATTATCTGTTTACAAATTTCTAAGTCCGGACTAACAACAGGCCTGTTGAGAGCCAGAGTGTTTTAACTAACACTATTGTTAATCCAAGCCAACTTAGGTTAATTTAATTGTCTTTATTGTTTGATAATTGTTTTGTATATATCTTTAGGCTACATAAAGAATGAATGAATGAATAAATCAATTTAAGCTTTAACTTAAAAGGATTATATTTCTAGCTACTTAGACTAGTAGCCTGTAGGCCTGGGACCTCTTTATGCGGATTAGGGTCGTAGCGGCATTTTTGTAAGTACATGACAAAGTTGAATTATGATATGATTAAATATTGATATTTATTATATGTTATCAGTTCGGATTTTTACGTATAATGAACTTTTATTTTATATTTCTTTCAGGACACAAACGGATTCAAACATGGGATCTGTCAATACTAAATTTACCATGTAATAAAATGTGATGAACGTAAAAAAATTAGGTCTACACTTAGTGATACTGTATATTGTCATTATTATTATTAATTTATTATTATTATTATTTATTATCAATCATCTTCAAATGCAATGACAAACAGATGTTTATTCACTAAAGAACAACTGAACACAAATAAACTAAAGAAGCGATTTACAAAGTACCATCGATTTCTGTAAGAAAATAGGCATACTATAAATCATAATATTTGATATAATAAATAAACAAACTAACTAAATATTAAGTCTTAATTTATATAGGCTATATATAAATTATGAAAGAAAATATACATTAATTTGATAATTGATTAAAACAGTATTAATATCGAACTCTGATGCCCATAATCCAACATACATTTTGCATACTGCACGCTTGGTGTTCCATATAAATTGCTGCGTATCGACTCGCGGCCGCTCCGACCATACTCCATTTATGCTAGCTAGATACAAAACCGATAGAGGGCGCTATAGATTGGCAATACAAACATCGTGATAGAAAATAGTGCCCCAACGGAGATAGGATATCCAATGTATTAAATGGGTATTTCGCGGAAGAATTTGACCGAATTACTTCCAGATAACACACCAGAAATTATTTCTGGACCAAGTTATTGGCTTTTTAAGCGCGCGAATCGATTTTAGTAGAAGTTTTTTTAGTACAACCAATGTTTCGTCGATTTTCAATAATAAAAGGAAACCTTCGCTAGTTTTATGGTTAACATGTTTGTTTTCTTCAGTTTTTAAACTATAAAGATAAGTAAGTTTTAAATAATATTTGTGAGCATATTAATTGAAATAGATGGCATAAAATTCTATTGTCTTATCACGTACTGCAGCTAGGCTCGGCTCTTACGAATAGAGGGCACCCTCGTTAATTTGCAGCGGCTACATGCGGGGTAAACGATGTTTTCCCTGCTCGCCACTGTGTTGTCTGAGGCCTGCAATTAGGCCTAGAGTTATGCGATTCAATATAATTTATTATACGTAGAATCTGAAGTTGACAAAAATTATTAAATCTAATATATATATATACTAAAATACTAAATTATAATTGTTAGTAACTGTCAAGTATTATGTTAACATGGCCTGAAATGCTACATAATTATACTGTAAGGGACACACTTCTTGTATAATAAAAACAATAGGAATTAACTCCAGCAAAAAACATATATAAAATAGCAATATCTCCGCTAATATTGGTCCGATTTACATAATTTTTGTTTTAAAATGCTTCATTCAGTTATGTCTTTCTATTAAAAATAAATAAAAAAATATTTGGGACATTTCATTTTTTTTTTGTTTCTAGCTATTTATGCTATGGCTATATGTTACAGGAGAGAGTAAGCCTAGCTAGCCTAGGGCAGGTAGGTAGGGCGCCTAGTAGGCAGTTAGTACTGAACTAACCTAGGCTTAGGCCTAATCAATTACTGTAGAGTGCAGAGTAGTTCTAGGAGAGGAATGGGGGAATTCACTAGCAGGAAGGAGTAGACAGTACTGCTGCTGCAGCAATCAAGCTATTATTATTAAATAGGGCTAGCCTACCTAGTAGGAAGCCTAGGCCTAGCTTAGGTTCGTCTTGCTGTTTACTTGTCTTAATTATGATAACCATACCATCTCGTTTTCTTATGTAGTGTTTCTCGTGTTTCATAATTGTAACTTTTGGCTGCTCTCCTCTTATCTTAACAAAATGTTTGTTGTTGTGTTTGCAAATTTGTACCATGGACGTGTTTGTTGTAATTTATTATTCCACACATCAACTATCCACTGCACACTTTACGTCAACTTACGTCAACGTGCGTCATTTTGCGTCAACTAAAATTAACAATGTATATAGCGCCCCCATTGTCAGGTCTTTTACTGCAAGTCTGTGTTACAAGCTTGCTACGCAATAGCAATTGATTAAAGTTATCCGTAAGAATCGTGTTTTTCTGTTACGAATGTTGGCAATGGTTAATATAGTATAAAGAAATATTTTTTCAGTAATAAATCCATGCTAATTTTAACTATTTTTAAAACTTTTTAATGATGAAAATGAAAGAATTTGTAACACACCTCTTCTTCTAATTACCGTAGTTGCTTGGATAGGGATTGGACGGCTTCTGAGATTGCATAATAAAACGACATTCGGCCTAGGGCCTAGGCTAAACAGAAACCATGGGTTTTGTTTTTGTGATCAGTCCATATAGATATGATAGATTCAGTGATAATGTTGTTTAATACTCAATGCTGATTACAGGTAGTAGTAGTGGTATTTTTGCATGCAGTGCAAAATGAAATGTTTGTAATTGTTCAATATTATTTATTGATGTCGCTAGATAGATACATAGGCGTAGGGGCCTAGCTAGGATAAGTAGGTTGGTCTAGCAGACTGAAGAATATAGGCCAAAGCTTAGCCTGTCATAGCATGAAGCATCTGGCTCTAACTGAAATCTTCCAGATTCTATCTTGATATAAGAATCACAAGTATACACACAGAGTACAGTTTATGATTTGGTTGTATGTGTGACATTTTTAAAGCGGAGGTTATAATTTCTGTTGGTTGTGCAATGTTCATTTTGATAATTGAGTGGTACAATATAAGTTACAGAGGGTTTGCCAACAATACTATTTTTAGTTGTGCTGTTATCTAAGCATAGTACTTAACCAGAAAAATTAATTGAAGAAAATTTAGCTGAAATTTGTATGTATAATGCTCTCTATATTGGTGATTCTTTTGATCAGTTTATTTTTGGTCTAGGCCTAGGTTATTCTTGAATTTGCTTAATTTTAAAAGGCATCACTTGTACATCCCTTGGTTAGTAGATGGGGCTTGACATTTGGTCATCATCAATGTCTGATGCTTTTCATGTTCCCTGTATCATGCTTTCAATATAAAATTTCTTTTCTGTCTGATTATTTTACAAAAGCTTTTGTACAACTGGTACATTTAACACATCATATTTCTTTTTCCAGATCATGGTACAAAGACTTACCTACAGGAGAAGACTCTCCTACAACACAAAGTCAAACTTGGTCAAAATGTGAGTAACATTATTAAACTGATTTCACTTCAAGTACTTTGTATTCAGATTGTATGACAAGAACAATTGCATGTTTTCATAGTGTGAAATCTGGCATATTTTGAATTAATATCCGTGTTCTCCCAATTGGATTTTTTTAACTGGTAAATTTGTCCATAAAAAGCCAGTTATTGCCTCTTTTAAGTGGAGTTCAGTGGCTTCAAAAACAACAATACATCCCGGGGAGCTCACTTACATACTAACCAAATAGGGGGTGCCGCAGCCACTTTAAGACATGGGACACTTGCGCTACCTATTTTACTGAAAATTCTTATGGACTTGAACTACCATTTACCAAAATTGCACTGTTCTCTAAAAGATGACAGAAAAAAGGCCACTCAATAGTGCCAGAGAGGGCGCAATGTTGACTGGTTCCCAATGGCAAAAAGTGTTACCTCCGGTCGCGATCTTGTGGCTGTACCCAATGAGTAGGCCTACATAACTGTTATATATAATACTCTTTGCTGTACCGAAGGTAGGCTTAGCAAAGGGCTTAGCACCCAGTTTAGCTTGAAATTCCTGCTAACATAGTGTGGAAAATCGTGGCATTTTTACACAGGATATAATCATAGCCTAGGCCTGGACTGGAGTTATGTTCATTTATAGAAAGAAGGCCAGGCATTCTACAAACACAAAATTTTTACTGGTTGGTCAGTTATTTTTACTTAGTTATTTTTTACTAGGCCTACATGTAGGCCTAACCTAGGCTCTGGGCTAGTCCCTGATGTGTGGAAAAGGGGCATTATAGTTCAGATACACAAAAAAGGCCCACTCACAGATCCAAACAATTACCACGCGATATCTTTACTTAAATATTCAGTTTGAATTGTCAAATGATTTACGCATAGACGCATAGGGAATCTTTGTTCGAGTAAATATTATTGGAGAAATCCCACAGTATATAAGTTTTATGATTTGTTAAACTAATGAACATGCCCAGGTCAAACTAGCTAAACTTTTATATGTTTCATTTAAAAAAAGAAACTCCTCATTAGAAGGTATTGTATGGTAATATTATTTTCTATAATAATAATAATAATAATATAATAATATTTATTCAGCAAAGTAAAAAGTATACATACAATATTCTTGCCATGAGTAAGTAATAGGCATAAGCCCAAACAGTAAACTGCTCTTACTCCATCATCAAAAACAAAACAATGACAATACAATATAAATATATACAAAAAAGTAAAAGTAAATTCAAAATATATTGATTTAACTATAACAAAATGAAAAACAGAGATAATTAATAGTTATTATTATTATTAATATTTTGAGATCAAGTGTTTTGTGAGCTGGGCTTTTAAGTTCGAA